GGGGGGAAGGTGAGGGCACAATCTCCCGAGTCAGTCATTGGAGCGTTAAGCCAGGGTAATCTGGGGTCAACGATCAATACAAAGCTGTTAGGTTGGCTACATATATATCCAAATCTGGTTACAAAAGCCTCAGTGAACTTGAAACCCTTCTGGCAGGTAACTAGATGTAATTAGGATCTCTGGAGGTGTCTGTCAATCATCTCAATCTATTTCTTGTGTCGTAGAATTGGTTCATGAATAAAGTACCTGGTGGGGTAGAGAGATGTGTGGAGCAATCAGGCCAGAGGCTCAGGTAGGCTGGGAGGAATTAGATCTCGTCTATATAATTTGATTTAGTGAAAGTCACTCATCCTCCTTCCCTGTACTGGCACGCCTCGTCCCCTCTGCCCTCCCTCCCTTCCCCTTCACACACACACACACACACACACACACACACACACACACAATTCTAAGCACTGTTTACAATTGCTTGTCTCTCAACCCTCAACCAGATGCTTTATCACACAAGGAGTTTGCTTAACCCACCTTGCCATTTACCTTGGTATGCTAGACGCAACATTATCCACTATTATTTTATCTCAACGGCGCGAAGAATATATTTAAACGTATGCAAAGTGGTTGTCTATTTTCACAAATATCTTAAACAAATCTTAAAAGCACTTGAGGAAACTGTTTGGGGATATTAATGTTAGTATTGTGTAGCTGTCATCTGAACACCACTAAGGGATTTCACAGCCTCATACATCAACAAATCCCATAAAATATAAACCTATATTCCTCGTTTAGTATAAGTTCATTGTTTATCTTTACCAAAAACCTTGAATATCGCTCTAAAATTCACGTCAGGGAACAGTCCACTTCTAGTTCTATACACAAACGACAACTCAAATCCCAGATGCATGTTCACTGCTCCGTATAATGCCTTAGATAAGCCTGAAATACACTACACGACAGATACATTGGTCGCAGCTTCTCCAAGGACCAGTTTTTGCCACAGTGTATCGAGGGCATAAAGATCCTGAGCGTCAGATGGATGATCGCCTTTGACAACAACAGGGAAAGGCAGAGGGAGTTGGTAAAGCAAGAGGAAGGGGCAGAAGTGAAGTGGGACTGGGTTATGTGTGGATGGTTGATGGTGTGGTTCTGTGTGGATGGTTGTGCGTGGATGATTGTGTGTGGATGATGAAATGTGCGTGTGAGCGAGAGAGAGAGAGAGAGATTTAGTGATCAGGAGTAGCTAATGAACACCCACTCTCATTAAGGTAGAGAACAGGTGAATTTTAATAAGGACTAATCTGCCGCTGATAACGTCACCTCCATGTTTAGATCAAAGGAACTGAGTTAAACAACAAACTCTCTATTGTAAAGCATAATCAGGGACTTGGGTGTTTTACTGACCTAGTAGGGGTGTTGTGAGAGGTGAGGGGTGCTATGAGAGGTGAGGGGTGCTATGAGAGGTGAGGGGAGTTGTGAGAGGTGAGGGGAGTTGTGAGAGGTGAGGTGCGAATATAAAAGATTGTAAAAAGATGATAAAACAAAGGGGTGAAGGGATCAGGAGGGAGGAGGCTGAGGGGGGGTGAGGGGGAAGGGGGGGGGATGAGGGGGGTGAGGGGGAAGGTGGGGTGAGAACCATTGCAGACTTAAGAAGCACAAGAGGGTCACTTCCGCCACGTGAAAGTCACCTTATATTGACCTCGACACAGCTGTTCCTCCTCCTCCTGCTGCTGTTGCCTTTCCTTCCCTCCTCCACCTGATACCTTTCTTCCTCCCCTCCTCCTCCTCCGTCCTCGTCTTTCCTCCCCCTTTCACCCCTTCCTCCTACTGTTGTTGTTCCTTCTCCCCCTTCTGCTGGTTATTCTCCTCCTTCTCCTCTTCTCCTTTGTTCTTATTTTCCTCCTTCTCTCCTCCTGCTGCTCCTAGCTTTCCTCTTCTCGCTGCGTGTACAGGAGCCACCAGCCATCGTTCCCTCCTCGCCATCACAAAGAAGGGAAGTGTGCAGGCATGAACAGCATCCTTCATCTCGTGACGTCACCTCTCTCTCTTTCTCCCGATATTTTATTTTTGTTTTTTATTTTGTCTTTTTTATTGTTGTTTTCTTGTCCGTCTTTCATTTGGTCTTTTATTTACGTCGTATTTTTCGATTTAATAGAGGAACAGGAGATAACGCATCTCCCTGCCACATAGATTAGATTCTAAACTAAATTATATCCCTCGAAGCATCGTCGTACATTGTAAACACTTTTGATATCTAGGAATTAACAGACGCATAATGATTTCCCTCTCAGGAGCTCATTAGTATGTATTCTGGAGCCAGCGAGAGGCAGTGAGAGGCAGAGGGACAGGTATTTGTGGTGTAGACAGGTGTTCACGGAGACGGGCGGATCGATAAGAAAGACAGATGTTATTGGGTGATTCCTCGGGTCCATGGGAGACTTTGAGGAGACGCAGGTGTTACAGGTGGGCGTGTTAGCGGCGTCATGGTTGGGCGTGTTAGAGGCGTCATAGGTGGGCGTGTTAGAGGCGTCATGGGTGGGCGTGTTAGAGGCGTCATGCGTGGGCGTGTTGGAGGCGGTATCAACAGAGTTATTATACAGCCATTGTTAGGAGTGAGGCAGGACTGTGGGCGGTGAGTGAGGCAGGACTGTGGGCGGTGAGTGAGGCAGGACTGTGGGCGGTGAGTGAGGCAGGACTGTGGGCGGTGAGTGAGGCAGGACTGTGGGCGGTGAGTGAGGCAGGACTGTGGGCGGTGAGTGAGGCAGGACTGTGGGCGGTGAGTGGGAGGCAGGACTGTGGGCAGGTGAGTGAGGCAGGACTGTGGGCGGTGAGTGAGGCAGGACTGTGGGCGGTGAGTGAGGCAGGACTGTGGGCGGTGAGTGAGGCAGGACTGTGGGCGGTGAGTGAGGCAGGACTGTGGGCGGTGAGGTGTGTATCCAACACCTGATTAGAATGTGGGATATTGTGTCACAGTGGTGTAGGTCATGGTGAGAGAGGGTAACACACACACACACACACACACACACACACACACACACACACACACACACACACACATGTATCTTAATCATTCACAAACACACAAACGAGACGTGACCCAAATAACCCTTTCATCAGGTTTCACGTTCATTGCAACACCCACAAACAAACATGACCCAACCAGATATAATTTTATATTGAGAGTGACTGCAACAACAGATACCTCATGAGTTGACCTTTTGTGTTACCTGATGTTAACTGTCTGAATAGAATTTATTGCAAAGTCGTAAAGGCATTGTATTGTATAATTGCATAAATCAACTACAGGATATATATTAATCTTTTCTTCTAAGTTTGGGTTGAATGTGATTGATTTTAACCATTTTTTTATAAGAATGTTGGGAAAAATATATTATTTTATCATTCTCTTCTATTGCTTTCTACACTTTTATTGCATTATTCTTATTTCTCAATCTTCCTCCTCCTCTCCCTTCTCTCACATTTGTTGCAGTGTAAATAAGTGTGGAAACAACAACAAAAACAATATTTATAATTGATTAATCTTCACTATTCACTTGAGATAAACAAAGAATGGATAGATAAATAAAGATAATGATAAAAAGTGATTAAAGAAGCAGAATGGGGTTAAAATATACATTAAATAAGGTCAAGGTTTCTGTGATATTGTGTACCCCGGTTAGAAAGTCAATAGACCTTTAGACATATGAATGAGACACCTGCCAGAGTCGTTCGTTCACCCACCTTGAGTGACCAACATTGACATCAGCAAAAAACAGTTGTCTAGTCTGTTTTCTTTTCCTTGGTAAGATTGTTTGTTTAGATCCCACAAGAGCCGAGAGATATAGTATTGGCAATTGTGGTTACGTGTTGGTGTCTGGTGGAAGGAAGGAAGGAGTAGTGTGTCTGGTTGATGAGGGTTAAGGTTTTGTGTAAGGAGTTCCAATGTATTTTAAAAGGATAAATTTGTCTTGGTGATTTTGTCTTTTTTTTTCTCTTTTTCTCCTTCTTGTTTGTTTCTTTCTGTCTTCTTCTTCTTCTTCTTCTTCTTCTTCTCCTTCGTTTCTTTCTGTCTTCTTCTTCTTCTCCTCCTTCTCCTTCTCCTTCGTTTCTTTCTGTCTTCATCTCCTCACAATAATCTCAGCACTTACACTAATTATACGACTGTAGGTCTCATTAGAGCTACAAATTACTTCTATTATATTAAAAGAAAACTTCACAATTATCACATTAGATTAATATTAACTTGACCCAAGTAAAAAACTAATTGCTTCTGTCTAATGCACCTCACATATCTAATTAGTGTACCGAGTTGAACCACATAAGCCACTATAGCATAATTAGCTAAACTCTTAATGACTTGACCAATTTGGAACATAGTTTAGAGTCAAGGAATTCTGGTGTGTTAATTATGCTCTTGTGAAAAATTAATAATCGTCTCAAATTGTGTTAAATGTATGAGATGATTAGACCTCTTGGTTGAAGTAGAGATGGTGTATAATTATATATGGAATAATTCTATAATTAACGCCACATAAAGTATTATAGAATTTATAATTAGTCCATAAAGGTAAAAAAAAAACAGCCTGGGGTTAAGTGAGTGACGATACGAGTAACTTTTATACGACAGGAACTTAGAAATTAATGTATTTTTTTTAGAAGTAATATAACTATGCCCCCTCCCCCCTCCCCCTCCCCTCCCTCCTCCTCCTCCTCCCCCTCCCCTCCCCCTCCCCAGGTGTCCGCCCCATGTCTCAGCCCGCGGAGTAATTTCGGGGTTATTGCAATCATGTTATGGTGCAGCAGTAAGGCGGCTAACATAAAGTACTAGATAAGTGTGTGTGTGTGTGTGTGTGTGTGTGTGTTTACATCTATGTAAGTATCATTTAGTCCATTATATTTCAGTAGAACTATGACGTTTACACACTGTCTCTTCCTCATCACTCTCTATGATAACAGGAAACATGTAAACACAATTTAAACACTGACCAAGTTTGTTATAATTCCAGGTGGCGGTCCTTGTGGTGGCCCTGGCCACTTGTGGGCTGGGGGCCAAGCTGCCTTCATACTCCGACCACGACTCCCAGGTACTGTCTGCCATCACTCTCCCTCTGATATGGATGTCTTGTGCTGGTCGGAATTCACGCTGATGTTTGTCGCAAAGTAGATTATTTCCTGTACAATTTCTGTTAGTGTTGTTGATATTCGGTAGGAGTCATAAGATTACCTCATAGTTTAACAGCTTCTACTTGCTTAAGGATCACATATTCACTAAATTTATCATTGCAGGAGATCGTCTCTCGAACCGTGAGTGTAAAAACACCAGAGAGAAAATCCAACGTTATATCGCACTTCACCCCTGCTGACCATAGCTACGAAGCAACTGGGAGTGTTGTCATCACCAGAGGTGAAGATGCTTCCCCAAGACAAACTTTACCCGAGCCTCAAGCGCCTGTCCGTGTGGCCCCTCCCACCCGTAAGACACAGTCAAGACCAACTTCTTCCTCCCGAGCCTCCGAGTTGGCTCTCACCCGTACCGTCTCCGTCAAGACACCCGAGAGAGTCTCCGGTGTCATCAACCACTTCACTCCCGCCGACCACAGGTACGAGGCCACAGGATCTGTCACCATCAGCAGGGCTTCATCTAGTCGAGCCTCTTCCAGTGAATCCAAGGAAGCAAGAGTTAAGTTTACCCCTGCCCCTGTTGCCCCTGCACGTCCCCGTCAAGTCTATGTAGCTCGACCTTCAAAGACTGCTTCGTCGTCTTCGTCAGCTTCTCAGTTGGCTCTCACCCGTACCGTCTCCGTCAAGACACCCGAGAGAGTCTCTGGTGTTATCAACCACTTCACTCCCGCCGACCACAGGTACGAGGCCACAGGATCTGTCACCATCAACAGGGGCTCAACAGGCAGTGGGAGAGCTGTTTCTTCAGGTCCCGCAAGAACTGTACCTGTCTTCGTGCGTCCTGCTACTGATCCTGTACGTCCTGCAGTTGTACGTCAGCCTGCCCGACCTGCACTTCCCTCAGCTTCTCAGTTGGCTCTCACCCGTACCGTCTCCGTCAAGACACCCGAGAGAGTCTCCGGTGTCATCAACCACTTCACTCCCGCCGACCACAGGTACGAGGCCACAGGATCTGTCACCATCAGCAGGGCTTCTCAAGGTTCTTCAAAACTCCTGTCTGGTGCCTCAAGCCAAGCGCAATTTGTTGCTAAGCCTGCGGCTCCTGCCCCTGCCCGTCCTGCTCCTGCTTCTGCTCCTGTGCGTCCTGCAGTTGTACGTCAGCCTGCCCGACCTGCACTTTCCTCTGCTTCTCAGTTGGCTCTCACCCGTACCGTCTCCGTCAAGACACCTGAAAGAGTCTCCGGTGTCATCAACCACTTCACTCCCGCCGACCACAGGTACGAGGCCACAGGATCTGTCACCATCACCCGAGGCTCAACAAAACAAGCTTCTTCAGCAAGTCAGGCTTCCTTCGGTGCTTCACGTGCAACAAGAGTGAAGTTGCCCCTGCCCCTGCTACCCCTGCCCCTGTTGCCCCTGCACCTCCCCGTAAAGTCTATGTAGCTCGACCTTCAAAGACTGCTTCGTCGTCTTCGTCTTCGTCAGCTTCTCAGTTGGCTCTCACCCGTACCGTCTCCGTCAAGACACCCGAGAGAGTCTCTGGTGTCATCAACCACTTCACTCCCGCCGACCACAGGTACGAGGCCACAGGATCTGTCACCATCAGCAGGGGCTCAGGTTCTTCTGGCCGTCAGTCATCAGTTAATGCCTTCGGACAAGCTGCAGCCAGTGCCAGCAGACAAGCAGCGGCCTCAGCTTCCTCTGGATACAGTTCATCAGCAGGGTCTCAAAGCCAGGCAGCAGCAGCAGGTTTTCAGCGCTCCCAGGCAGCGGCAGCAGCAGCAGCTTCTCAGCGCTCCCAGGCAGCTGCAGCAGCAGCAGCAGCAGCAGAAGCAGCAGCGTTTCAGCGCTCCCAGGTAGCGGCAGCAGCAGCAGAAGCAGCAGCAGCCTCTCGGCGCTCCCAGGCAGCAGCAGCAGCAGCAGCCTCTCAGCGCTCACAAGCAGAAGCAGCAGCCTCTCAGCGCTCCCAGGCAGCAGCAGCAGCCTCTCGGCGCTCCCAGGCAGCAGCAGCAGCAGCAGCCTCTCAGCGCTCACAAGCAGAAGCAGCAGCCTCTCAGCGCTCCCAGGCAGCAGCAGCAGCCTCTCAGCGCTCCCAGGCAGCAGCAGCAGCCTCTCGGCGCTCCCAGGCAGCAGCAGCAGCAGCAGCAGAAGCAGCAGCAGCCTCTCGGCGCTCCCAGGCAGCAGCAGCAGCAGCAGCCTCTCAGCGCTCACAAGCAGCAGCAGCAGCCTCTCAGCGCTCCCAGGCAGCAGCAGCAGCCTCTCGGCGCTCCCAGGCAGCAGCAGCAGCAGCAGCCTCTCAGCGCTCACAAGCAGAAGCAGCAGCCTCTCAGCGCTCTCAGGCAGCAGCAGCAGCCTCTCAGCGCTCCCAGGCAGCAGCAGCAGCCTCTCAGCGCTCCCAGGCAGCAGCAGCAGCCTCTCAGCGCTCCCAGTCATCATCATCGTCTTCATCATCTTCGTCTGGTGGATCCCAGTCCTTTACTTACCGTCTAGCGGCTCCCTATGAAGGGGGTAGTTCCGTGTCTTCCTCCGACCTACTGGCAGAACTGGAGGAGTTCAGGGCAGATGCTGCCAGATCTGGTGTGAAGATTACCCAAGATGCTCAGACCAGGCTAGCTGATAGTGACAGTGTAAGTGAGGTTTAAGTCATAGTTCACTATTAACACCGCCGGGTATGTAGTAGTGCCTAACATTAAGGAGTTTTCTGAGGAAGAAGATGGCACCAGGACAAGTAACCAGGGTGACATCCTCCGTTACATCTTGTTATAACATTTAGAGCAAAATTCCACCTCAACAAATTATGACCAATACATCAAACATTTCAGAATTTTCAATCGAACAAACGACAGTTGCCTTTTTCAGAATTTCACAACTGACAACAAAAGCCATGCATTAACCTGCTTGTGTTCTCAGGGGTCAGACCCGTACAGCTTCAGCGTGCGAGTGGAGGACCACGACAACACCAATTACCAGAGCAGAGATGAGTGGGTGGGTGAAGATGGCATAACCTACGGCTGGTACACAGTGCTACTCCCTGACGCCTTCAAATACAACTACTCCTACATTGCTCACCCAGTTAAAGGCTACCAGGTACACACTGTAGGCTGGCAACATGCTCCATAGTCCCCCCTCCTCCCCTCGACCTCTGCTTCTCTCCCATCTTACATCTTATAATATCACAATCCTCCCAAAGCTGTTGTTGTCTTAAGAAATACTCTCTCTGTACCTCTAGCTTTCCTATACTCTTAAAAGTTTCTCTTATGGCTTTCAAGTTAATAATCTCATCCCTATTTCAAATTCTTCATTCTTGTTATGAAAGAAATATTTCCTCGATTCCCTAAACTTTATCTTAGTTAAATTCTTTAATTTTTATTCTTAATACATAATATTAATTCTTCTCTATGTCTATGTCTATACTCTTGTGGTTTATAGAAATGACTTGTCTTTATCATGCCTATGACCTACTCTTCTCTGGTATTATTATTATATACGTATCTACTTTCAGAAAACTCTTCGCTATGCCAGAGTCTTTGCTTTATTCTTGTGCTTTGAGAACTTCCTTATGTATGCCATTATATCTCACAGTTCTATGGCATCTTTATGGATTTCTATATTCACAAAGCACTTTTCTATACCAACAACTCTTAGTTATATTCTTTTAACAAATATCTAATCTATGCCTCTTTTAATCTTGTCTATATTCCGTTAATCAATGCCAACCTTTTAATATTCATCTCTATAACAATATCTTGTTCTTGATCTCTGAGAAATGCCTTATCTATGCCCTCTGTCTTTACCTAATTTACCAGTCCATTTAAGGCATAATATATACCTGGGTGTTCGACAGCTCTACCAACACTGTACAGGTATACTAAGAACAGTTACCATGCACCTAAGTCACAGTCAAGTATACTGTAGAGGTTAGAGAAGTTAATACGCATGCTTATTTCGTGTGTATGTTGCTATCTTTACTCTATTTACCTAACATTAGCAGAAAAACATCACGGAACAAAATGTAAGGTAAATATTAACCCAATTAATTACAGGTTTTTGCCCCAGGTAACCATGTACAGAATTACCTGTCGGTGTCGTCTGGTGAAAAGGCTCCTTATGCGTGTGTACGGGAGTATACAGTGGTGACGATGTATAATTTGTTTACGGTAGCATTGTATCCTTGTTTATAGTGTTACTTAATATTGTACTTATTCACCTTTGCATTTTTACAGGTTAAGGTAACGCGTGTGGACTCTGGTATCGTGATGAAGCCCGTTGAAGCAGATATCTTCGCCCCTGCCACCATCTTCTCCAACCAAGGCATCACCAGGTTCGGTGACTTTGCCATTTCAGGCATCAACAACGATTTCCAGACTGAAGGAAGGATGGACTTCGAACAGAACGCCGCTGCCACTTTTGCCGATTCCTTGGCCGAGTCTCTGCAGGTTGGCAGGTCACAATCATCGTCATCAGTGCCTGCAGTTTCAACCGGTCCGGCCAGTCACATCTGTGGGTACAGAATTGTCCGAGAATATGGATCAACCAGTTCCCGCACCATCGCCATCCCCTCTGGGTCACCTCTCTGTGGCTCCTCATCAGCAAGTCAGAGTGCAGGTCTCTCCAGTGCTTCATTCACAGGCCGCTCATCTGGTGCCTCAAGTAGCAGCGGTTTCACCTCTGGATCCGCAGCTCAGAGTCAGAGAGCAGGTGGATCTTCAGCCAGTAGTTTCTCCTCAAAGCAGGCAGCAGCAGGAGCAGCAGCAGGAGCAGCAGCAGGATCATCCCGCGCTTCCTCCTCTGGGTCCACAAGCTTCACCTCTGGATCTTCAAGTTCCTTTAGTTCATCCTCTAAAAAAGTCTCCTCTGGATCCTCTGCCTCTTCTGGTTCAACCTCGAGCAAGTTCTCTGGATCCGGATCATCCTCTAAATTTGGAGCTTCCTCTGGATTCGGATCTTCCTCTGGATTCGGATCTTCCTCTGGATCCGGATCTTCCTCTAAATTTGGAGCTTCCTCTGGATTCGGATCTTCCTCTGGATCCGGATCTTCCTCTAGATTTGGAGCTTCCTCTGGATCCGGATCTTCCTCTGGATCCGGATCTTCCTCTAAATTTGGAGCTTCCTCTGGATTCGGATCTTCCTCTGGATTCGGATCTTCCTCTGGATCCGGATCTTCCTCTGGATCCGGATCTTCCTCTAGATTTGGAGCTTCCTCTGGATTCGGATCTTCCTCTGGATCCGGATCTTCCTCTAGATTTGGAGCTTCCTCTGGATCCGGATCTTCCTCTGGATCCGGATCTTCCTCTAAATTTGGATCTTCCTCTGGATTCGGATCTTCCTCTGGATCCGGATCTTCCTCTGGATCCGGATCTTCCTCTAGATTTGGAGCTTCCTCTGGATTCGGATCTTCCTCTGGATCCGGATCTTCCTCTGGATCCGGATCTTCCTCTAAATTTGGATCTTCCTCTGGATTCGGATCTTCCTCTGGATCCGGATCTTCCTCTGGATCCGGATCTTCCTCTAGATTTGGAGCTTCCTCTGGATTCGGATCTTCCTCTGGATCCGGATCTTCCTCTAGATTTGGATTCCTCTGGATCCTCCTGGATCCGGGATGGATCCTTCCTCTGGATCTCTTCCTCTGGATCCGGATCTTCCTCTGGATTCCTCTGGATTCGGATCTTCCTCTGGATTTTGGAGCTTCCTCTGGATCTCGGATCCGGATCTTCCTCTAAATTTGGATCTCTTCCTCTGGATCCGGATCTTCCTCTAAATTTGGATCTTCCTCTGGATCCGGATTCCTCTGGATCTTCCTCTGGATCCGGATCTTCCTCTGGATCCGGATCTTCCTCTAGATTTGGAGCTTCCTCTGGATCCGGATCTTCCTCTGGATCCGGATCATCCTCTAAATTTGGATCTTCCTCTGGATCCGGATCTTCCTCTGGATCCGGATCTTCCTCTGGATCCGGATCTTCCTCTGGATCCGGATCTTCCTCTAGATTTGGAGCTTCCTCTGGATCCGGATCTTCCTCTGGATCCGGATCTTCCTCTAGATTTGGAGCTTCCTCTGGATCCGGATCTTCCTCTAGATTTGGAGCTTCCTCTGGATCCGGATCTTCCTCTGGATCCGGATCTTCCTCTAGATTTGGAGCTTCCTCTGGATCCGGATCATCCTCTAAATTTGGATCTTCCTCTGGATTCGGATCTTCCTCTGGATCCTCTGGTGCTTCAGGTTCATTCTCCAGCAGGTTCTCTGGATCTGCAGGTAGAGGCTCAGGCTCAACTAAGTCTTCATTCGGTGGATTCTCCTCTGGATTCTCAAGTCAAGGCTCTAGTGCATCCAGCTCTGAAGAGGAAGAAGAATCAAGCGCTTCTTCTTCCTCAAGTCAAAGCTTTGGTTCATCAAAGTTCTCATCTTCAAGGCGAGGTCCTTCCTATAGCTTCTCCTCTGGTTCTGGCAGTGGAGCCTCTACCTTTGGCGCCCGGTCCTCATCTGGAGCTTCTCTAACACGCAGAGTTTCAGTCAAATCACCTGAACGAGTATCAAATGTAATCTCCCACTTTACTCCTGCTGAACATGTTTATGAAGCGACTGGTAGTGTGACTATCGACTCTTCCTCAAGTCATGAATCCATTAGTCCCGCACGGGCTGTGTTTGTGGCCACTCAACCTGCCGTTGCTGCTCGTCCCGCAGTCAGGAAATCACCAGCTGCTGCTTCATCTCAGTTGGCTCTCACCCGTACCGTCTCCGTCAAGACACCCGAGAGAGTCTCCGGTGTCATCAACCACTTCACTCCCGCTGACCACAGGTACGAGGCCACAGGATCTGTCATCATCAACAGGGCTTCAACTAGTCGAGCCTCTTCCAGTGAATCCAAGGAAGCAAGAGTTAAATTTACCCCTGCCCCTGTTGCCCCTGCACCTCCCCGTCAAGTCTATGTAGCTCGACCTTCAAAGACTGCTTCGTCGTCTTCGTCAGCTTCTCGGTTGGCTCTCACCCGTACCGTCTCCGTCAAGACACCCGAGAGAGTCTCTGGTGTTATCAACCACTTCACTCCCGCCGACCACAGGTACGAGGCCACAGGATCTGTCACCATCAACAGGGCTTCATCTAGTCAAGGATCCTCCAGTGCTAGACACACCTCAGGGGCTCCAGCTTCTTCTGCTCCTGCTGCCCCAGCCCGCCCTGCCCCAGCCCGTTCTGCCCCAGCGTATTCCCCCCCGACTGCTGCTCCAGCCCCATCCCAACTGTCTCTCACCCGTACCGTCTCCGTCAAGACACCCGAGAGAGTCTCCGGTGTTATCAATCACTTCACTCCCGCCGACCACAAATACGAAGCAACTGGCTCTGTCACCATCAGCAGGTCATCCTCGGCTTAACTTTATCTTTACATAATAAAGAAACAGACGAGTGCCATATGCGTTCAAAATAAAATGTCGACACTTAGGCGGTAAAGGTTTATGGTGTTCGGGAAGCTCACTAATATTATGTATAATGTGATACCCAGAGATTATTGTTCAACTTCACGAGCTATAATTAAAAAGTAGTTTAAGGAGTAAATCAGTTGGTGACTTGACAACACATGGCTGTGTCTATACCTGTGTCTGTACCTCCCACTAACTGCTGGCTAGTGTCTCCTCCTCTACAGCTTTCCCACACACTCTCTCTTCTTGCATAGGTGATGTGAGTCCATCTCTGCACCTCATCTTATACTTTAATATATATAACGATATTATTTACTATTTTAGGGCTTTTTCCTTCCTGTTAATTTATAAATGAGCTTCCCAGGTGTTGACCATTGATAAAATGAATGTGTGTCTGTGCCTCTGATGACACAAAAAATGAAAATACTTAAATAATAACTATTTATTGAGTGACATAAGACCCAGGGTAAATATTTATTTATTGTCCAATCATCCTCATCATGTATCGAGAAGAATGATCTAATAAACCACATTAGAATGAACAGTTATTCCAGCCTTTATTTACCTTTAGAGTGAGTCTGTTTCTTAACCTTCAACCTATACGAATACTTAATCAACACTGAATTAACTATGGCCGAGTGAATTAACTATGGCCGAGTGAATTAACTATGGCCGAGTGAATTAACTATGGCCGAGTGAATTAACTATGGCCGAGTGAATTAACTATGACCGAGTGAATTAACTATGGCCGAGTGAATTAACTATGACCGAGTGAATTAACTATGGCCGAGTGAACTAACTATGGCCGAGTGAATTAACTATGGCCGAGTGAATTAACTATGGCCGAGTGAATTAACTATGGCCGAATGAATTAACTATATGAATGAATTAACTATATGAATGAATTAACTATATGACCTAAATTAGTATCCATCATGTACTTAGGATTAGGATATAGACCAAACTTTTATACCCGTATAACATTCCCAAACACTACAGGATATCACCAGGTGTTTCATATATACCTGAAGTAACGAAGTATATTAATTATAACTGATATATTGAATCAAGTGTTATAGGGGTTGATACATAATTCCTTTATAATTATTCTAAAGTCAAAGCCATTGAGTTAAATTTGGGATTAACGAAATAATTTAATGAGGTATAAATCAACATTAAATTAACATGATAGAATAAATTACTATACAAAATAAAAAAGATGAAATAATTAACAGAATAAATTGAGGAATTTAACTAAGGAGAAATTTTTCTTATGTAGAGAAACAGATGATGTTGACCTATGATTAATGAGATAAATACCGCGGGGGCGAGGAGCAGTTATTGTGTGTACAGTAATGCTGGGAGCTGTTTATTGTGTGCACCGAGCTGTTGACTGTGTGCACCGAGCTGTTGACTGTGTGCACCGAGCTGTTGATTGTGTGCACCGAGCTGTTGACTGTGTGCACCGAGCTGTTGACTGTGTGCACCGAGCTGTTGATTGTGTGCACCGAGCTGTTGACTGTGTGCACCGAGCTGTTGACTGTGTGCACCGAGCTGTTTACTGTGTGCACCGAGCTGTTCATTGTGTGCACCGAGCTGTTTACTGTGTGCACCGAGCTGTTTATTGTGTGCACCGAACTGTTTACTGTGTGCACCCAGCTGTTCATTGTGTGCACCGAGCTGTTTACTGTGTGCACCGAGCTGTTTATTGTGTGCACCGAGTTGTTTATTGTGTGCACCGAGTTGTTTACTGTGTGCACCGAGCTGTTTATTGTGCACCAAGTTGTTTATTGTGTGCACCGAACTGTTTACAGTGTGCACGACAAGGTCTTGGTAATTGAATTATTTAGTTCCGACGTGAGGAGGTCAGGTCAACAAGGGTGTGGTGTCAGCTGTGTCAGTAATCAGTGTTAGTTGATGACGGACTCTTGATATACACGGACGAGTTGAGTACGAGATAGTCCTGAGAGTTATCCTGACGCTGGTATACATTATGGACTTAAGATATCATGTACTCTACTGTTCATCCCCCCTCCTCCGCCCACCAGCTCAACACACACGTCACAGGACCGAGGAGCAACTAGTAAGTCTTCCAAGTTTGTTATAAGCACGAGACTACATTCAACTTGTTCTTGGGAGTTATTTTGTATTTGACTTGTAGGACTGGCAGTAATCTCGATGACTATTGTGCCTCTTGTATATTTTCTTGTCATTTGATAATGGCCGCAACACAATCGTTCCCTCGGGTACGGATGGTTAAGCATCTCATTGTATAATATGTGGGTTTGTTCCAATCCTTAATCAGAGTCGATTGGTATGGAGTTGATCAGCTGAATGTGTCAAGAAACCAACTTGTTTATTTTTGTTATTTATGTCAGCCCTGAAGGAGAACCTCGGGCGTATACTGTACAGACACCCACAAAAGTCCTCTCGCCTCTCCTCCTGAACCACGAACCCCAAGATTTAGAATAATGTGTCAATGTTTACTGCTTCGTTCGGGTTCACGAGTCTAAATATCAGAGTTTGTGGTTCAGGAGGAGAGGATCACCTTCCTACACTTGTGAATCAGAGACCGAGTGTCTGAGTGTCGCTGGTGTGGAAAATAAATCCCCGCTAGTGGCAGGATTTTCTGACATAATCCCTTGAAACGAGAAATGGAATATACTAGAAAGATCTTCCCAAACAATGATCCACAGTTTATTATGTTATCAAGGGAAGTGGGTCATATGTCCGATAGAGACTACAGTACTGGGGAGGGGGCTGAATACTGCTCTCAGAGTTCACTGGAAGTTATGTGTGTTATGACAAAGACCCCTGAGCTGATGACTGATCTAACCACCGCCACTAGGGAGGTGATGCTGGCGAACATGACCGCTGAAGAAGTTATATATGAACTGATAAACATAACCAAGCCCTCAGGTAACGAACAACTTACACCAAACATAAATGTGATTTCTGCTGAGTGTATGTGCCACGAGGACTGTGGCTCACTGGACGAGTCTCCCGCTAAGGTGTTACCAGCAGTACTCAACCACCAATGCAATAAGGAAAACGTAAATCTGGTCTCCTGAACAATAAGAGGGATAACTCTTGTAAACTTTTTCACATCACAACGTTCTATTCTCTTTAGTAATTCGTGACAATACTCGGAATATAATATATCGGTTATTGGGCTTCCCCTACGAAGAAATTTTTTTTTCATGTTTTATAAATAAAATTTAAGCACATGTTAATTATTTTAAGTGTATGCATTTTTCCAAGAAGTTTGTGTGCGTGTGTGTGTGCGTGTGTGTTGTCTACCTACATCGTTTATATACCTGTAATGGCCCTTGTTTCATACAGAAGAATTATATAAATGGGTTAATTACATTTGATCTATATACTGATTCATCCCCTGTAACTTTCCACTAGCTATGAGGTGACATGTTCAGTGCACGTGATAAGGTGTGCCCACGGGAAGCTGCGTCATATTATGATGAGTTAAGGCATTTGTAGCCGGCTTTCTGGCCACCCAAAGCGGGCAGTAGTTTGATATCCTTGACTAGAGGAAGACGTTATTTGAGAGCCGCCGTGGATGGCTCCGTCTTCCCTCGAGGGAGGACGACGTGCCTATTCCGTTCTCCCTCGATGGGTCACTACTCATAGTAGTCACACTCATAATCTTCATCTAACGGACGTGATTAAACGGTCTATTTACATAGCTGCCGTCCTCTCCCTTCACACTCATAGATAGTGGAAGTTACGGTTGATCTACACTCAGGAATTATATAAACAATACAATATAATTCTTCTGTTTATGAAACAAGGGCCATTACATACCTGATCTCTCTATATACATCGTTTATATACCTGATCTGTCTATATACATCGTTTATATACCTGATCTGTCTATATACATCGTTTATATACCTGATCTGTTTATATACATCGTTTATATACCTGATCTCTCTATATACAGTGCATCGTTTGTACACATATACCGTCCACGTAGTAGTTTGTATGTATGGTGTATATCAGGGAACATGGCGAGCGCTTGATATTAGGAGATATTCTGAGGTCAATAGTAACTACGTTTTACTATACAAAAAACCCTGAGTACAGTACTGCATTAAAGAAAAAGTAATGTGATTTTTTGGTGAAAAGGGAAGGTCCGGACCCCCAGGACCCGCTGGATCCGCCCTTGTTTATATATATACGGGTCGCGAATGGGATAAGCTGACGGAGTCGCCCCTTGTGAGCATGTATGATTATGCGGCGAATATCCTGACTTGTGTCCAACGATTGACAACCGTAACAAAGTTAACTGGTCACAGAAGTTCACAACACTTCCACAACAAACACAGGACCCGAATAGATAACCCTCTCCTCAGGTGACAGTAAAGGGGCAATAAAATTATGTCATTTACTAACAACAAAACACAAAGAAATATAAACACGGTGCACATAGAATAATAAGAACCTAACTCCTAACACACAAAATAATCAACTAAATCCTAACCAAACCTACGAACAAATCTAACCTAAACAACATACGGGAAAAGGGGAACACAATGGCGGGAAGTGGGAACGTGGAATTGTACTTAAGGTCTGATGGTCCCGAGATAGCAGAGGAGGTCCAGCCGTCCTGGTCCTCGTGAGAAGTAAGTCAAGTTGTACTGCACATATCCCAGAGGAGTAGTCCAGCCTTGGGAATAGGAGTAACCAGACAGGGCACTAGCTGAAGGTGTACTACCTGCACTCGGGCAGGAGAAGTCGTATAGGCTCCGGTCGAAGACCATTGAGTAGGTAAAGCAACTGAGAACCGTAGTCTAGGTAGGAGGTGAAACTGCAAGTATGGGCACAAAAGTGACGAATCACCCTCCTAGATGGCATATATATATATATATATATATATATATATATATATATATATATATATATATATATATATATATATATATATATATATATATATATATATATATATATATATATATATATATATATATATGCTAAATCATAGTGAACTTATGTCTGTTCTTAATAAATAAATATTTATCTTATGTTTCTCTCTGAGTGAGGAGACTCCGTAGGTCCTACCTAAATTTGGTAATACATAACTAAGTGTGGTGTAGTGCCAACAGTGTATAGCATACAGTATATTCAGAATACTTAATGGGAGAAGTTATTAGTGACAGTCAAGGAATAAAATTTAATGGTAAAGTAATATCAGATATACGCTATGCTGCTGCTCTTACCACGAGAGTGAAGAGGCATTACAAAAACTGGTTAACGCATTCGTGGTAAAAGGTGAAGAATATGGGTTAAGGGTAAGTAACGGGGAACTTAGTGGATTTGTTTGGTGTATTTGGGAGGTAACATTAGCTGTGATGGTAGATGTGCGGAAGGGATCATAACAAGGATAGGTCAAGCAAAGACAGTATTTAACGATCTAAAACACCCCATGAAAGGGTTATTAACTTCAATTTGAGAAAAAGACTTTTTTGGCAAGGACTGATGTATGGGCCAGAAGCGGGGACACTTTCAGCAGACACCAGAAAGACGTTGG